TACCAAAACAACTTTTACGCATGCACGTATTCAAATCAACAGGTGTCGATTTCCCAACAAGAGAACCAGAAGTAGGCTTTGGCTGAATATACTCGCGCGTGAAGGTGTAAGGTGCAGCCTGGTGTCGACAGAGCCCCTTACCTGTGTCTCTACACTTGGCCAGTGCACGGTGGTCGCTGGTGCGCCTTGTCAGAGTTGGAGTGGATCAAAAGCAGTGGTCAGAGCAGCCGTGGCTCACGGCACTCACGTCCTCGTCACAAACTTGGACTAAAACAAGCTTCCTGTGATTTTCTTATGATGCACAGAGGACTTAAGAGCATTTTAGACCCTTTCCAAATGCCTTTCCCCCCAGCTCACGCGCGCCACCACCACCGATGCTCCGCCAAATATGGACATAGGAAGTGCATGCGCGCTTCAGGGTGCCAGTACTGGGTGGGGAAACACAATACTATTCAGATTAGAAGATGATCAAGAAATTGGTGTTTTAGAATATAAGAGAAACATGTCACAAAGAAATATTGTGTAATGCAATACTTGTTTGATATGTGCGCAATCGGTTATAGGTTTGGTTACGTTTCGAACTGATAACAAAATAAATAATGACTAATTATAATGCATCGCAATAGGCGGAATGGAACGTATCACTTTGTGAAGAACTGACTTTATTTGAGTCTTTGTTAGAACTAACTTTATTTAGTCTGAAAGTAACTTGTGATTTACGCAGTGTACCTGAACATATCTCCTAGCTGTTGCTGAGGGATGTCGCCGAGAAAAATCCTGTGCATCGCAGTAGAGCAGAGCTGTCAATCACTTTGTCATTAACGCTCTTCTACTTCGTTGATTAAGAGCGCAGTATCTCAAACCGGACGTTTCTGGGTTTCCTTCGAAGATGTCTGTCTTTTTATTTTTATAGCAGAGACACAGCTCACCTGTTGAAACTTAAAAATGTGACATAACCATTGACATGGTTGTTTGTTATACCACGAGTGTTATTGTATTAGAGCAGAGTGTATTATTATTATTATTATTATTATTATTATTTACAATGTTATGTTTAGACATGTCAAAACCAGAAGCCAGTATAGTATAATGATGAAAATAAAGTAATTTTTCCTTCACGAAGACTTATTGTGGTGTCTAACCCAGCCCTATCCATGGTATTACATGTCTTTATTTATTTGGGCTACAAGGTTGAAGTACCTTTCTTCTTCTTCTTCTTTAATTAAAAATGGATGTGATGACAATGATGGTGCTTCATGTCAGCATGCTTCAATTTGTCAATCTATGGGCATTCTTTATGCAGTGTCCAGACATAAATAGTTGCTTCAGTACAAGTAGGGCATCTGGAGTAACATAAAGGATGTGTTGTAGGAGACGGGGGACTTTTGTCTAAAAAGTAAAGAAGTAGAGTGCCATCTGGTGTTGATAAAAGTCAAAAGTCTCAACAGTTAATTCTAGGGGCCTGAATTACCCTTAACTCCGGGTGCACGTGTAGGACTCTTGCCAAAACCTGTTGAACAATACCAGCCTCTTGCCCCTCTAATTGTAAACGACTAAACCCGCACTGATGAACAGCGCACCAGGCGTTTTCTCACTCGTTTGCACAATAAGCCACGTGTGGAAGGAAGGCCAGTGCACAGGCTTTAAATAGGCTCAGGGACATTAATTATACGGCTGTCGAGAAGAGGTGCGCGTAAGCTCAGAAATGATTTCACACGTCGCCACAACAGCAGCAGCAGCAGCAGCAGCCTCCACCGTGCGCGCTCCTATTAGTCACTTTATACGAGAGGAACCTCCATCAGAGCCACACCTCAGCATCCGGATAATATTACAGCATACGTCAGTAGTGATCATCTCATACGCATTAACTTATGAGAAATGAGCAGGAAGAGTCACTTTAATAGGCCGCAAAGAAAATGCAATGCTGCAAACAAAAGTCTGAACTTTGTGACCTAAGAAAAAAAATATCCGGTGCGTATGGTTTTAGGGTTAAGTACAACTGTATTTTTTTCAGTAAGCCACATTGAGCAATTCTTTATTCCTTAGTCCTATTGAGTCAAAGCAACAAGCATTTTTCTAGTAGAGATAGATGTCACATTCATGGCTCCATGGAAATCTAATTAAAATTGTACTTTGAAATATTCTCCTCGGAGATGTATAAGATTTATGCTACAATAATATAGCCAAAGGAACTACATTTCCATGCCTCCAAGAAGAAAACAGTCAGGTTTGTGGAGATGCAAGCCCACCCACTGTAAGGAAGTATGATTTTCTATGCTTTCAGTGCAGTAAAAACATACAAAACTGTACTTTTTAAAATTGTTTTCTATATTTTTGTCTATTTTTGGCAAAAAAGTTACACTAAGATTCAACAATTGTAACTGAAGTGCAGGATACAGTGGGTAACCATCGGTACCCAACTGTTTGCATAAAGAAGACTACACTGAGACCTACATACCTAACCAAACAAAATTAAATATTAAATCCTCCAAGCAATCTCAGCCTTTTCATTATTTGGTGTACGGTCTATCTTTCAATATTTCATGGATCACTAGGCAAAGACTGAAAAAAAACCCAAAACCGCCAAGTAGCTGTCACCTCAGAAGACTGCTGTTTCACCAATCACTGATACTATATTGTGAGATGTGATGAGTTGTGACGCTGTTCCTAAAATCTGGAGCGATAGAAGGATGGCATACGGCTCTTCCTGCAGTGAGGAGACACATGTGACCCTTCCCCTTGTTTCCATGGACACATCATTAGAGAACTTCCCCATCTGGCTCCGACTGCTCTGAGCATCTCTAGAGAATAACAAGAGAAGCATTTAGCCCCGCCATGCAACAAAACACACTTTTATCTCCCATATCAAACACATTCAAGTGATGGACATGGCACATACATGGAACTATAAACTTGCCGCATTCATAATAAGGCCTGGGAAAACAATGCTTTACTGATAATGTGGCAACTGTAAACAAAACATTGACAATTTAATAGTCTTTATGAGATATTCAAGATGAAATTCAAGATGATTTCACCTGAACACAAGTTAAAATGTTTTTTTTTTTATAGCATTATTGTCATTGCACATGCTTCTGTATTACATTATTTTCTGTTATATCTTATAATACCTGGCATTTTGTTTACACATGTTTAACACACAAACCCTGCATATTTAGACTGAGTTCTCCATACACCTTCAGTAGATTAATCTGGATGATTTCAGATTTGAAATTGTCAGTCTCGACTGAACATGATCATGATATCACAATGTGGAACAGAGCATTTTGAGCTTTGGAGATGTAGACAGACTAATAATAAAGGGTTACTCAGACATGTGTGAATGAAACAAAACACAATTCAAGGTATGTTTTTATGACAGGTAACAACAGCTCACAAGGATCTATTTCCATATTGGACCTTTATGTTTGATTTTAATTTAATTGACTATATTGTTTATTCATGGGATTGTGTGAAGCAATTTGTAATCTTGTTTTTCAAAAGTGCTATAGCCCACAAATAAAATAGTTATGAATAATATTATTATAAAAAAACAAAAACAGGATATTTCTAATCATCAAAAAATGACAGCGTGTGACGTAATACCGTCATAATATTTACCTTTCCGAGCATATATTCTCTAACTTAACTTTGCAGTGAGGATTTTGTCATGCAGTCCCTCAGCCTGGAGTAGAGACAAATTTGAAGCAGTCTCCAACATATTTATAGGCTGAAGTGGTTTGCCATCAGCATGGCCAGTGTTCAGAGTCCAGTCCTCTTCATCAGAGGGAACACAGTGCTTCCAGCCCCACTTATCAACTGTCACTCAAAATCACATCCTCTCTGCTACATACATGACACAGGACAGAAAAGAACTGGGATCTCTCATGTTTTCACCGTTTCAGGTGTTTATATATTTTACAGTTTATTTATGAGAGGACCACAGAGGTGTTATCATATTAAGGACATGCCTCCGAATAAAAATAGAGGTGAAATAGAAAAAGAGAGCTTGAATTGTACAAATTTAGATTTATTCATTCTTTATCTCTACCAGAACAGATACTCCTTATAATTGGACATGTGAGTTTTGATCTTGTGGGGTTGGTATGCCTCCCCCAGGCAGTACACTAAAATGGCAATATATTAAAATAGGCTAGATATATTTTAAAGATTTCCCATAATTATACAAAAATGACATACTTAGGTTAGATTACACCTTTTAAATAAAGTTACAATGTTTTGATCAATTCATTTGAATAAACAGTAGTAGTTGATCATTTGAATCCTTTTGTAGGCCTATTTTGAAGCTGCATTATGAAAGCCTAACTTTTCTAGAGAATGGCCATTTGTTTCCATGGAGATATTACTGCTTTACTTGGAATGTTCAATTCACTCAATAAGACATTTAACTTTTAACTTTATCTTCATGAAGAGAAGCAGGTGATACTATCAAGTTACAGGTCAGATTTGTGGATAGGCAAGCCCACACACAGGGTAAAAGCATGTTTTGCAATATGCAGTAAAACATCTGAATGAATGCATGAGAGACATAGGCTTAGACAAACTTTATTGATCCACAAGGGAAATTATTTGGACACAGTAGCTCACACATCACAGTTTATTATAATAACAGAGAGCAACAGTAAGCAACAAAAGAGTGGTGTCAAATAAGGTATAATTGTATATGTACAAGTAAAGATAAATATAGAAATATAGTACTACAAAATATATCTCGACTATATACAAAAGGTAGGTAAGGAGAAACAATTAAAGCTGGAATAGTGATTGACATGTTTAATGGCATACTGTGGAACGTATAAAGTATGGTTTTGTTAATAACAATAACATTTCCATGAAGCTAGACAAGTAGCATCATATATACCCTCCAGCAGAAATGCACATTTAGAGCAGGGAGCTGATCCGCCCCCAGTCCGGCAGGCGTCAGTAATGCGCCTGTGAAGAATGTGACCGCTGCCAACTCAAATCATGAAAAGAAAAAGAAAGTGCACCGATGCTGCTGTTTTTTTTTTTAGCTTTAGCCCTGAAATGTGCCTCCAAATATGCAGGAACCGACACGCGGGGTCACACGGATTTAAGTTTAATTTCACAGATCTACAGCAGTGAGACAAACACGATGGCGGACTTTGATCGTGGCTCGGAGGTGGGCTTGTCGCGGATACTGGACTCTCTGCGTTTCTGCCGCGGATCGGGTTGTTATTGTAGCTAGCGTTAGCGTGAAATTAGCTTACCCCGCTGTCTGTCTTCCCTCGGAGCAAAACCAGCCCATGTTGATTCATTCCTGCGGGCAGGGAAACCACAAACCAAGCTAACTCCAGAGAAAGTTGTGGATTTGACGAAAACACCCCGGTACTCCCTTTGCGTGGTGCTAATTTTGCCATCAAGACCTCATTTGGTGATCTTTGACAAGGTTGCAGACTTGCATAGTAATATGGGTGGATTATTATCTGACAAGCACGCACAAGTCCATCGTATTGAAATGTCACGATCACCTTTAAGGCTTTCAATCTAAAATGTAAGAAGATGGGGCAACAACAACAACTTTTGCAAGGGGTGTGCTGTGGTTTTTGACAAGATGAAGAGACGAGAAGTGGACCGCTGAAGTGAGTGTCATCTATCGCCTGCAGAAGTCAAAAACATGTCTTGCAAAGCCGCAACCAAGGACAAGAAAACCAGCTTTAGTAAGAAGCTGTTCAGGCGAGGCTCGGTCAGGTCTGTGGGTAGTTTTATGAGTAGATTTCTCCGGACGCTTACAGCTTTGTCCCACTTTGGATCAGAAGTACAAGCAGAGGACGACAAGGATGATGGGGGCTTTTCCACATTTAAATCTGGGAATAAGGATATCCCGATGGAGGATGGGGATCTGTTCTTTTCTGGAGACAAGATCCCGGGAGTTTCAGGGCTCAAGAACCACGGGAATACCTGCTTCATGAATGCAATACTACAGTGCTTGAGCAATACAGATCTGTTTGCAGAGTACCTAGTTTTGGAGCACTATAAAGAAGAGGAGCAAAATGAGGAGAAACCAAAGACTAACGGGGTTCATCTGCAGAGGAAAGGACCATTGGCCAAAGGGGAGGTGACCGAGCAGCTGTCCGGGCTAGTGAGGGCTTTGTGGACATTTGAGTATACTCCGCAGCATAGCAGGGATTTCAAGGTAAGTGGGGCATTAATTATTCAAGCCTCTGTCATTTGATTTAACAGATACAAAGAATGGCTTACACAGGGCTTCTACTACTCTGGGGACTTTATATAGGCAGATATGCATTGCCTGAAAATGTGTAAAAACTTACTACTTCATATTTGAGCTTCTGTTGTAAGGTTAGAGGTTATATTTCTACTGTTTTGACACAAATAAGTTCAATTTACTCATGTCAGAGTCAATACTATGTCACAAATGATAAAAATATAGCAAATTGAAACATCAGGTAAACTCTATTCACCTGGACACAGGACACAAAATACAATTTAAAATTGATCTTCAAAAACAAACTTCAAATAGAATATAATACTAAAAACTTTTAATCTGGACTTTTACTGTTCTATGTTATGTCTCTTTGTAACTGTTTTGTATTTTGTAATTGTTTTCTGTGTCACCTGTCTAGGGACAACAGATGGGAATTAGCATTTTTGCCATTTTTGCATCTTTCCCATCTGTCATATTTACACTGTAATTACTGATGTTAATTAATGTGCACTGTCCCTATCAAATAAATAAATAAATAAGTCAAATCTGATTGTATGAAAAGATGTATTGTAAAAAGTTTGTAAAATAAGTACACAAGTATACAATAAGTACACAGTATTGTCAGTGTCAACCTAATTTATCTTCTGATCTCAACACTTGCACTAGAAATTTAAGATCAAAATCAGAAATGAAAGAATGAAAATTGATTAGATGGAGCAATCTGCCTTATTTTATACATTGTTTATTTAGACACGATTTTACATTTTTCTTATATTAAAACACATATCATAAAATGTTTTAACACCAAACATAATCTTTGTCTCTGTTTGTTTTGCAGAGTGTAGTGTCAAAAAACGCCTCTCAGTTCAAAGGTAACGCTCAACATGATGCTCAGGAGTTTCTGTTGTGGCTGCTGGACCGAGTACACGAAGACCTCAACACTGTAAACCCCAACAGCCGGCCAGCAATAAAGGTAACCTGCTTTTTTCCCCTTAATTTAAAGGTGTACTGTGTAAACTTTCATCTTGGTGTCTGTCACCTTCTTGTTTCTACAGAGATATCATTCTTCTGCTTTGAATGCTCCACTATATGACATTAAACAGCTCTACCTTACTTTTATTCAATTATACATGGTTTTACTGCTCAAAAGTACCTAGAAAAACAGGAATTCTGACTGTGAGCGGAGTTGCCTCTCCACAAATCTGACCTGTAACTTGGCCTAATTTGGTCTCCATGATGATAGAAAGGTTTAATGCCATACTGAGAAACATTTCAATCAAAGCAATAATATTTCCCTGGACAAAAACATTTGACAGACCCTCCACCAGAAAAGTTACACAGTGCACCTTTAAGTTTTCCCTCCCTGACAGTAACAGAGCAGTGATTGATGGCTGACTTGCGTAATGTCTTGAAAGCTTGATGGTCTAGTTGTTTTTATGAGTACATTTTTCAAACTTGCTTTTCTCAACAGCCTCCAATAGAAGAAGACGACCAGAGTGTAGAGGGACCGTCTCCTCCCCTTTCCGCTGGGTCGTTTGTGCAAGAGCTGTTTCAGGCTCAGTACAAGTAAGATGACACCCCTGTGATGACGTGTGCTCTGTCATTAGCAAAACCAGATTTGAATTCTTACATTTTGTTTTGCAATTTCCCATCAGGTCATCTCTCACTTGCCCCCATTGTCAAAAACAGAGCAACACCTTTGACCCGTTCCTGTGCATTTCCTTGCCCATCCCACTGCCCCACACACGGTGAGTGCTCATCTGTGCAGCTACTGTGGGCGTATAAGAGTTTAAATGTTTCTTCACAGGTTGGAACATGTTCAGTGGTTATGCTTTATACCATTACTGCTGTTAAGAGGCGTTGATTAATGAACTTCTGATGCCAATTCAAATATAAAAGCACAAGAGGACTGATTTCTCTAAATGATTCTTATTTTAATGACTATATTCTGACTTACATTTTTTTTTCTGCATTGGTAAACAATTGTGTTGCAACTCCAAGGTAATAAAGAGCAGAATAAATACATACAATAAATGGAAAAAAATGGCTACATTAAAATTGAAAACAGACCTATTATGCAAAATCGACTTTTCAGAGCTTTTAGCAATGCTGTAGTTGTTTCTCCTTTTCATTTTCATGCATTTTTAGCCTGGTGCAGATTTAGATCCCATTAAGGCTTGGGATTGTTGTTTCAGTAGCTAATGGGGAGCTAAATAAAAACAAAAACAAACAGATGTACCTTGTCTTTGCCTGAGTGTGGGATGTGTGTGAATGATTGTTGGTGGTGGTGATGGTTGAAATGGCCATTAACGCAGTCTTGCAGTCTTGCTTCAGTCTTGCTTCAGTGAGGACAGCTTAGGGCCTGTTTTTACTTTGATGCAATACAATATATATTTTATGAAAGCTGTAAGTATGTATGGAGTACTACAACATTTACTATTTATTATTTCCTTTGTCATAGGACACCTGCACAGGCTTCAAAGCTTAAGTTACTTTAAAATATCTTATTACTTTTGAATGTTCATGTGGTTACATTTATATAATAAGGATGTCTATGTCTGCCATCTTCCTCAGTCCACTGTATGTCACTGTGGTGTACCAGGGGAAGTACTCTCACTGCATGAGGATTGGAGTGGCCGTGCCTCTCAACAGTACAGTGTACCGGCTCCGAGAGGCTGTGTCACGTGAGACTAAGATCCCCATGGACCAGGTGCTATTCCAGTCTCTCATTACTGTAGTCTCTGTCCCACACTCAGGAAGGCCAGCTCTAGGCCTTATTTCAACCTGTAGGTTAAAGATACATTATGTAACTTTTCTTACATGCTGATTCTTCATGGATATATTATTGCTTTGCCCTGAATGGTCCACAGTAGGGCATTAAACATCTGTCTCACAATTACAATTCATTTCTATTGCCCATCATTCTTACTATGAGTGGCGTTACCGCTCCAAAGGCCTGACCTGCAACTTGGGCCTGGTGGCATCCCCTGAGTCAATCAGGTAGTGGAACCTCAAACTAAAAAGTTACATAGTGCACCTTTAAGCAATAGTATCCAGAAAATGTATTGTGAGCATTACTTCAACAATTATAATTTCTGATAAATATATTCATCTAAACCTGAAAAGGAGTTCCTGACTGTATATTTTGCTTTTCTAGTTCGTTTTGACTGAGATGTACTATGATGGTTTCCACCGCTCATTTTGTGATGACGAGCACGATCTTAACATCATCCAAGAAAGTGATTCCATCTTTGCTTTTGAAACACCAGAGACCTTCAAGCTGGAAAACATCCGTCACAAAAGAGGTAACAAACCAAAGGAATACATTTAAATCAGAATACAGTATTACTTCGATTGGACAAAATACGTATCCCTCTTTGTGTTCTTTTTCAGGGAGTCTTCTGGCAAACTTGAATCATAATAACTTTAAGTATGGGACAGAGATGAGCAGGACTCCATCGTTCATGCAAGGGGCTATGACTCCTCTAACTGCATCTCCAAACAAAAACCTCGGACCAGAGAAAATGATCCTCTTAGTGTGTAACAGAGCCTGCACTGGACATCAAGGAAAGAGGTAAAGTCCCAAAATTATTAGGTGTATGTAAAATGTTTAATCTTGAATTTTCGGGTACATTTCAATCATTAAATATGCATACATATGTAACTTTCTGGGTAAGGAACCAATATCTACTTTTCTCCACGGATCTTATTGTTTTGCCTCAATGTATTGTATCTATTTTAGTTTATTGCTTTATTGCTTGCTTGCAGTTGGTGACCCTTGTTTAGAAAAAAAGTACATTTTAAAGCAGAACTAAGTAATTTCAGCAGTAGCACTCCCCCAACAGGTTGCTTGTGAAAATGCACTGTCATAAATACTCTTCCCACCTACCCCACCGCTCAGCTGAGCGCTCACATTTGTTTTCACAAACCGGTGAACACTGTACGCAACAAAATATCTCAGTTGGGTAATGTTATTTTACTCTTTAAATTAATTCCAATTCTTTAATTCCAAATGGGTTGATCCAACACAAATGCGTTACTGTTAAACGTTTGGGCTGATTCTACATCTGGGCTAAAGTTGTTCGTTGCGCCGTTTAGAGACTGACAATACTGACAACAAGAAACACGTCCAGCTGCTAAAACATATAACATTACTACTACATACAGATGAAACATTAGTCTGTCAGTTACAGAAGTGACTCCGACATGACGCTTGGAGCACACGCAAATGCGGGATCCCATTTGATATTGGCGTGATGTTAGCCATAGTCAGATATCAAGTTTCAAATACATGGAGCAAGATATATTGAGTTATGTTGTAAGGAAAAGTTAATAACTCTACTAAATATTTTTTGGTTGCTTTAATGTGAAATAAGAAAAAAATAGATTTGATGAAATACAGTTATTTAACTTTTTTTTGTCTTTGCTATATCATTCCATACATCTTGCTTTATATATTTGATGCCTTCTACATATTTCTAAAATCTAGAAAGTAGTAAGCAGAAAGAAAAAAAAAATACTTGAATGAGAAGTTGTGTTTAAACTTTTGACTGCTGTATATTGAAAATGGATCTATATATTCTTTAAGTAATTCTGACTGTAATGATTCAGATTTGGTTTGCCGTTTGTGCTATACTTGGAGCGCACTGTGACCTGGGACACGCTGCAGAAAGAGATTTTGGAGAAAATGCGACATCTTTTGAGGCCCGGGGTTTATATTCAGGTAGGAGGCAGATCACTTAATTTATGGAAACCTAAAAATATCTTGTGTCAGGATTATAATTTCAGGTCACGCTGTTTCTTGCGCAGGTGGGACCGTTCAGTCTCAGGGTGGTTGGCGTCGTTGGAATCACCTACCTCCTTCCTCAAGACGAGAGGCCACTGTGTCACCCAACTGTGGATAGGTAAGTCTCTTATATACAGTAATGCCAAAGACAGGATCTCATGGCACAAGAGTGTGCACACAAGAAAAAAATTAAAGTGTTGGGTTAAGTGTTTGTAATTTACATCTTATAGTTCCAAAAAGCAGTACTAGAATGGTAACAAAATATTAAATAAAATAAATAAATTGCGACTACAATGTAAAAACATTTGGAAATTGCATAATTTATATATTAGGAATCACATAAAAATCTTTTCTTTCCCTCTTTCTTGTGTCTCGTTCCATCCCTAGTATACAGACATCAGGGAATATATTCTGAAAGAAATCAGGCTAAAAGATGAATGGTTATGTCTTTATCATAATATTCACTGTTCAAACAATATTATGGGAATCCTTCAGAAATAAAATATAACAAGCTTGTAAATGTATTCTGAATGGACTGTAAAATTAACCACAAATGTGCACTTTACCGTTATTTGAAGGATTATAATAGATTTTTTAATACATCTGTTATAAACAATATACTCAGTGCTCTTCATTGTGCAAATTTTTCCAAAACACAATAGTGATGGTATTTATGTTTTTAAATATAGGCCACCTAGATACCAAGTTTAAGTACCGTACTTGTTTAACAAAGTCATATCTATTATCTTGTGTAGTGTAATTACTATTGAATTCACTTTGAATGATTTGAATGATATTTAATCCCAGAAGCAGATATTAAGATATTAAGATATTAAGATATTAAAATAGTATCAGTTGCTGTAAGTGAAATAATAAAGAATGTGGCATTTTATAGTGAATAACTATTGTATTGTATTGTATATTTATTGTATATTGTATTGTAGTTTTTTTTTTAACCCATTTGCTCTGTATATAAACAGTGGCTTGACAGGTGAGAGTTCAACAAAACTGTAACGTTTGCGTCATCACAAGGGAGGTCTACATTACATCAGTGTTGTCTTTAATCTTCCCTTTAAAACAACCTGTGCTTTAGTTCCTCGCATTTGTAAAGAAACGTGTCCAGACGTGACCCAGTCTGTTTGTAGAAATGCCAGTTTTACATGCTTCACTCCAGCAGCTCATGTATCTCAAGACAAGTTACAACATTCTTAAAAGTTTTACTTTCCAAAACAAAAAGAAATGTTGCTCAAATTTTGCGTAGCTTCTCAATAAATTAATGTTGGTCTTTTTTGCAGAGCGTATAAGTCCTGTGGGCAGGGGGGACCCCCTCATGTGAAGATTGTCGTAGAGTGGGACAAAGAAACCAAGGAGTAGTGAGTTTGTCATGATACTATATTCAAATCTATTCTTTTGTCACCGTATAGAACAGATGTTTACAACAAAAAGGGTTCATAGGATCATTGGCCAGATAAAAAAGCAATCAACTTTTAGTAACTTTATTTTAAATTATTTAATAATTATATTGGAAAAAACAAAATGAGTTTAATGCCTGTGGCAGTAACACATGGCTTTGTAAAACCAGTGAAGTAAACACACTTAATTGACTATTAAACATTTGTTAACAGCTGTGCAGATTTTAAAAAGCCACAAGCAACAATCTTGTGTTTCTCTGTTAACCGTAAATGGTTAAATCCAAACTCTGTGGTTTCTAAGTCAATGTATTTTCTGCAGTGGCGCACATAGGATTTCCTAATCAGTTTTCTCGTCATGCAGAAATAATTATACACTTGTGCAGGCAGGTCCTGTGATGGTCACATGACCCAGAGGTGAATGGAGGTTTGTGTTGATGTTCCCACAGTTTGTTTGGACACACAGAGGATGAGTACATCCCTGATGCTGAGAGTGTGTACCTGCACCGTGAGCAGCACCACCAGCCCCAGGCCTGCACCCTTGCACAGTGCTTCCAACTCTACACCAAAGAGGAGCAGGTATTTACACAGTAACACACCAGATAAGTAAGAGATAAGTAAGTAAAATACACTTGCCACTGCTAAAACCAGGTAAATAATAATTCTGTCAAGACACATTTTTGTGCCCTGTGCCAATATGCATATGTTTTACTTACATACATACACATGACATGAAATGAAATCATAAACGAGGCAGGTTAGAGCAGATATAAAATAAATATTCATGTGTATTTTACTTTTCTCTCTGGTTGACTTTATTATTGCTCTGCTGTAGTTTAGTTTTGTAGTCTGGTGTGGATCTCGAGTATATTTTTCTCCTGATGCTGTGTTTGGAAACCGTATAAATTCTGAGAAAAGCCCACTATATACAGTGTGGTTGTGTTGGCCCGGCACAGCGCTGAGTGAGGGTGGACAGAGGAAAGTTTCCCATGTGAGGTTTTGTGATGAGTGGAGCTGTGGCCTGTGTTTCAGCTGGCCCCGGATGACGCCTGGCGCTGCCCTCACTGCAAACAGCTGCAGCAGGGACGCATCAAACTGAGTCTTTGGACCCTGCCCGATGTGCTCATTCTGCACCTCAAGAGGTTCAGACAGGTATGGGCCTACACACTCTTGGAACTATTAATCTAGTTTTTTTTTTCCAGTTTCCAATTTTCTTCATTAACTCTAATAACATGGGGAATAATAACTTAAATATTTTCAGCCTTTCGTGCCATTAATAGATTTTCATACCTCTAGTAAATTTTACCTTTAAACTCTTTCATTTATCATATTATTTCATTAATTTATTTTTGACTGGTACATATTTTTACTGCATTCTTTTGTCATATTTACTGGGAGTTCAAATATTTCTTGAGTTCTGTTTTTGTATAAGCTAAAGTATCTGTTTAGGCAAGTGTAATACCTTTAACAGAATATTTTCTGTTTTAGGAGGCAGACAGGAGGGTGAAGATGCAGAACATGGTACGGTTTCCTCTGATTGGCATGGATATGGCGCCCCATGTGGTGAAGAGGAGTCAGAGCAGCTGGAGTTTACCCTCACACTGGTCACCGTGGAGACGACCTTACGGCCTGGGAAGAAACCCTGACGACTACCTGTACGACCTCTATGCTGTGTGCAACCACCACGGGAACATGCACGGAGGACACTATACTGGTAACCAAATTTAGAATATGAAATTAATGATATTTTATTAAATTTTAATGTAACCAGTAAAAGACTAAGATTAAAAACACTTTTTCAAAACAGTCCTGGCCAAGAGGCAGCAGTTATAATTACACCATACATACATACAAACAACAATAAAATAACATAATGCAGCACAGATTAATAAAAATAAGTGCACATTATTGAGGCAGTCTGTACGTTAAATTTTAAAGACATTTAAAACGTTTCAGTGGGGAAAATTCAAGGCAGCTGTTGGTACATAATGTAACAGAAAATCCAACATATAGGGCTGAATTACTCTCAAGATGTTAAACATGACATACCAGTTCTAAACTATATGAATTTTGTGATTTCTGATTTTGATTCTGATTTCAAAAATACAAAAATACACACTATAGCACTTCAGTATATGCATTTGAATTGGTGCAGCTTTGTTAACTTAATTTCTGTTTGCTTTCCAGCTTATTGTAAGAATTCAGTGGATGGTCAGTGGTACTGCTTTGACGACAGTGAAGTGACCCCTGTAGCAGATGATGATGTGTGTCAACAGACGGCCTATATTCTGTTTTACCAGCGAAGAACCGCCATCCCGTCCTGGTCGGCCAACAGCTCTGTAGCAGGTCTGTGACTCTGGGCCCTATCTTGTCAACAGTCTTTGCTCGAGTGCAAGTGTTACCAGGTCATGCTGTACAGTACGGTACGGTACAGGTACATATATGGTGATGGCATCTAGACCAATCTGTGATCGCTGTGGCATTTAAAATCACTGCCAGTGTGGGTAATGTCTGCAATCTTTAGCTCATTACCAGGCAGCAACGAGAGGTGTGGGGAAAAAGGGAAAAAGAAATATATATGTATAGGTACAAAAAACTGCTTCGAGGTAAGTACCAGTAGAGGTACCAGAGCTGCTGACAGTCTGCTCCTGCCTGTCCCGTGTCTCTCACCTGAGGTACGAGTTTCCACTGCTGCTAGTGCTGACTTCTCACATTCTTATCTTGCAGGTGTCCACTGCATTTAGTCCCAAAGAGGTCCGCGAATTATGGAACACTGTTATTGTCATATAAATGTCTCTGATTTTGCCGCTTTGCACACGGACATGGATTAAACTATTTACACACACACGGGGACTGCATGACCACGCGCCATGAGCAGTACACTGCAAACAGGGTACAGCCCGGTACCCGTTAGGCGCATGAATATCCCGGACAGCACACATGAATGTTGTGCATTTATCATATATTTAGAAAATAAAAGAATGCTTTTCAGGCCTTGAATATGTTACACAAGTTTTTCAGTGGACTAGTTTGATTGCGCAAAGACTGGAAGCAAGATATGACCCTATGTCTTTTAATTATGCAATAAATAATTCTAAATATGATACTGCAAACAGGAAGGGGCTGTAGATAAAATGTGTTGTGGAAGTAATTATTATGTCTTAGTCCCCTCCTTTTTAATTAGCCTGTGCTTTGAACCATGGAAAACATTTTGACACAATATAAACAGCCTTATTTATTTATCTTACACTGTGAATGCTGGTTGTAATTGCCTGATACTATAATGCTGACGAGTACTTTTATAATACATTATGCTAAGTGATTTTTCACACTTTTCAGGCTCCACCAGCTCCTCTTTGTGTGACCACTGGATCAACAGACTTCCAGGGAGCAGACCGGCCAGCCTTGCCTCCGGAGCTTCCTCCAGACGCACCTCTCTGGCCTCTCTTGCCGAGTCGGTCGAGTTTCCAGGAGAGAGAAGTGAAGATGATGGTGAGGCCCATAATCACAGCATAATGTCATATAATTTCTAGATTAGAATCGTGATGTTATACAGATATTCTAGCATGTTTTAGTAGAAAAATGTTATAATATTTTAGTTATTTCTTTAATTGGCCTTAATAAATGAATGCATGAACAAAGAAGAATGAATAATTTATTAAGAATAATTCAGGGTTAATTAGAGGATGAGAAGTTGGCGTGAGAGAATTAAGTAGTTACTAAACCTGAATCTTAACTATGTAACTATGATTTGGTGTCCGTCACCTGCTTGTTTCTATGGATATGTCATTGCTTTGTCTAGAATGTTCCACAGTATGACATTAAACAACTCTATCTTACATTTATATTAAATGTGGTTTTGAAACATTCCACTTCACCTTTTTATAAACTAACTGAATTAAGTCTTTGTTCATGCTTTATTAAGGCTAATTAAGGTGCCATTATTATAAATTCTTACTCTATTTTAGTACTAGTACACAAGTAAGTCAAAGTGGTTCAAAAGGTGGTATGTAATTGGATTCAGTAGTGTTATTGTTATATTAAAGTGATGTTTGTTTTGTAGGGGGCTTCTCTGTTCGTCCGTTTGTGCGCAGTATCCAGCGGCAGAGCATCTCCTCTCGCTCATCCATTGCCAGTCCATTGGCCCTGAGTGACAGTGGGATAAAGCCCTCATGGTCCCTCTCAGCCAAACTCCACATGAGGTCCAACTCCCCCTCACGCTTCTCCCTGGACTCACGCTGCTCTCCTCCTCTGGAAAGGATTGGAGAGGTCTACGACGACAAAGTGTCCACCTCCTGTTTTGGCAGCTACAGTCGTCATGAGCGTTACTTTGGCAACAGAAGTCCTCTGTCCATGATTGAGAGTAATGTGAGTGAACAGGACAACAAGCGCTTCCTGGACCTAATGCACTGCAGAGCCCCTACCCCAGTGGACAAAAAAGGCCCCAAAAATGAGTCTATGGAAAACAACAATCAGATTTCAGCTGTTGACCAAAACTTGATCCCTCCTCCGGCCACTCCCGCTAAAGAGCAGAAACGCAAGAGCAGCATTGGGGGCTTCATGTCAAAGAGTGAAGGCACGAACACCTCCAAAGGAAGTAAAGATGGTAAGGCTGAACCAGAGAAAAGCTCCAAGAAACGTTTGTGTGCATCTCATAAGTGTGTAACAGAGACCCCTCCCACCACTCCTGTCAAGGGGAAAAAGGCGAACAGTACAAAAGAGAGAAGTGTCACTAAGAAGAGCCCCTCCACACCCTGCAGCACGCCTGTGAAGACCAAAGAGTCTAAGAGCACAGAGCTAACGCCACAGCACAGGGCGTGTCTGCGCTCTCCGCCCCAGTCCTCTGCTTCTCCCTCTCCAACTGTAAAGAAGAGCTCCATCAGCGCCAGCAGCACCCGCAGGAGCCTTGTGGAGAGGAGCTTCAGCAGAGACTCTATGCACACCAGCCCCCTGGTGGACAGTGTGCGTAACAGCCCCACACCGCGCTCCTCTCCCTCTAAGACCACAGAGGCCCGCCCAGAGAGGAGGTTTGTGCGCAGCTCCAGCAGTAGCTCCTCGGTCACGAGCCTGCGCTCACCGAGTGTGTCCACTAGGGACTTGCAGCGTAGCAGTAAGTCTGAGGAGAAGGGCTTGTCCTTTTTTAAGAGTGCCCTGAGACAGAGGGAGAGTCGGCGCTCGGCAGATTTGGGCAAAAGCAGTGTGCTCACTAAAAAGGCCTCTGAGAGGACATGCAAGCAGAACGGACACGTCAAAGATGTTAGCACTGATGGGAAGACAGGAGAGACCTCTGTAGACAGTTCCACAGCAGAGACCAAGTCTGACTCCAAGTCCGAGTCCAAGTCTGAGAGCAAGGAGTCTTCCAAAGCCCCGAGCTCCCTGAGCCGCAGCCTGCTCTATGTGGGCCGCTCCAAGTCTTCCACTTCTGACGTCACTCTCAAGTCTCCCACAAACGGGAAGAAGTCTCTGGAGAAAAAGGCGTCTTCCAGAAAACTGGCCTCAAATGTCCAGTCTCCTGCTCGCACAGCACACAGGCCTCAGTGATACAGCCCATTTCAAACATAAAGCAGCTATTTTCTTTGTGCCTACGTTTCAGTGAGAGCAGCAGAGATGTCAGACATGTTCTGATTTATAATCGGTTTTGACCCATACATCAATATTGGTATCAAAGCATTTTATGACTATGTTCAAGATGAAGGTAGAAAACAAAAGGTCACACATGAGTTTAATACTCAGAATTCTGGTGTAAAGATGCCATCAATTCTCCAGAAAGTAATGGTGCTAACCTCAATCAAATGATATTTCTCAAAACATGTCTGACATGTCTGTTGTTTTCTAAGAATCAGAGTTTCATTCTGAAATCTGTGATCTGTTCTTAGTCCTTTTCAGGATTGTTTTAAACTGGTATTTTCAGGCATCTGTCCACACCTCATGGTTTCCAGTTTCTGTTTTGGCTCTGTAAAGCTGTGTGGTGTGTCCAGAGGTTTTGTCAGAGCTAAAAGATTATTCATAACTAATGAGCAATACACACAAACTGTTCAAGGACAGACAACAGAAGGCTGGAAAGATTGTAAGTTAGGGGTCTGAAAGAGTTTAATATTTTATTTTCTTGTTTACGATGTAGATTTACTATAGAAATGTATTTTTATTAAAAGCCTCTTGAAGGCTACGCTTTTTTCCTCATAAAAGATGCTGGGTTTTGGATTGAGACACTTTTGAAATATCAGACAGTTATTATATATTTAAATGTACATATAAAGTATATACATAACAATATCTGTCAAAACAAGTCTTATCAAAGCGCCTTTAAGTACACATGGAAACAGAGTAGTACTACTGTATGCATCATAAGTAGAAACATTACTTGCACTTTGTAGTTATAGTAGTTTTTCACCAAGCAAGAAAAGATACTCAGATATTTAATGTAAAAAGTTATGAGGAGGTTTTTTCTGTATTCGGGTACAGTTCTCTCTCAGTTTGACCTGGTGTTGGACATGTTCTTCCCCATCTGCTGCATTACTAATACTACTTTACTTTTACTTGTATCCATCTTGCAGTTGTATACAAGCTGTCCCATACCAATGACGCATTAATGCATTAATGCATTAACGCATTAACGCAGACCATTCATTGAATACTTTGTCATTGTGAGGAATGACAAGAGCAGTTGCAATATTCAAAATCCTTTACATACCAGCAGAGTATGCTTCATAGACAAATCAGTGAATGTGTCAAATATTTTTTCTTACGAATGAATGAACTTTTCCTTGTAGCAGACAGGTTTGCCATAGTCTCAGATGGTTTAAGGACCTCCCTGTCTCAAAGTCCTCAGTGTGTTGCCAAGTTAGCTTCACAGAGCTTGGTGTTGAGTGCAGGGGTCCTGTAGCTGCTGTTTTCATTCTTTATCAGGAAACTCAGAGCATGGCACTTTGATTCACAACACGTCTGCTTTCTTTCACCTTGTTTGCCTGTTGGTAGTACCTAACGTGTGCTAGATCTTGTCAGAATGATATCAAACACTACATTTATTATATATGGGATTGTTCATACCTGTAGCCAAATGCAGTGCTGTACTTTTTGTTATCGCACTGGCTGTCATATTGTGATCTTTGTGCAGGAGAGAGATCGTAAAAAAGACTTATTATATTCCCCTGATGCATACTTGTCCTGAAATGTAGCTGAACATATTCTAAGTTTATTTTTTCTATCAAAGTAAAATCTACAGATAGTATTAGATTTTGAGTTGTGTACATCCAAACAATAGTGTGTATTCACCGCATTGCCTACAGTATTCATTGTCCTTGTGTTGTAAGAGCAGTCATACTGGTGCTGGACCATTAGCTTCCTGCTGCTGCAGTGGAGGCTCTTGAAAAGCTGTCTCAAATCTGTAGTTTTGTCAAAACAAGCATTTAGCAATAAAACCTCCATCTCAAATCTTAGTTCTGAAGTCACTAAAACCAAATGTGCTGCATTCATGAAAGAGCCAGGTCAAACATTCAATAGAAAATGTGAGATAAATCAATGGTTTATAATGCCATACAATCAGCCCTCTAACTCCTGTGGTCGTGTGCCCGTTGTACAGAGGAGAGAGTGCAGTGTTGCATGTAGTGCTAATGCATGACTTCATTAACTATGCAAGAGCCTATGCTGTGTATAGAAGAGCGCGTGCATGACAGGTTTAGTCTATGCCTAATTTGCACATCATTACAAAAGAAATTGTAAAGTGAAAAACTTTAGAATCTGAAGTTATTCCTAATGTAAAATCTGACATTTTTTACTAGTTGTTTTGCCATTCCGTGTGCATTCTGGGTGCTCCTGCCAAACTGGTAGGTTATTTCCACAGTCGGTATCCACCAGCAAAGTCGATTCATCTGGTCAACTTATATCATAACTACATTTAATGTTTGTATTATAGAAAATGCAAATCAATATTCGACAGAATTGTGACATGTAGCCTCAGTTTAAATGTGTCTAGTTCACTCTGCAGTTCTTTGTTAAACAATGGCAATAACATCAAATAGTTTTATAATCCTCAATGGAAAATATTACAACTTTGACAGAAAGACGTTGCACAAATGTTTAATTTTATGCAGTTTATCAGTGGTTTCCAAATGGGATTAAAGCAAGCTGTTCAAATGTATAAAGGCATCATTTGAATACGGAAAGGTTTATTTTTATTGTTGAGAGATTGTTTTCTGCCCATGTTCTGATCTGTTGTACTCTTACTTTGTTTACTAATCACATTTTTGTGACAACATTCCTGTTTTCTGGTTGTCAGTTCTAACCACTAAGACCAAAATACTCATTGTTCCTTCCACATTCATGAAAATTATAAATTCATGATCTTGATAACGGACAGTTTAACCCCCTTCACTTGAATGTTATTGCAGTCAATTGGGCTACAACATTGTTAAGAGAAAATAATGTGCTGATTTAGCGTTTTTTATTTTTTACTTTTTTATGTGATCTTGTTAAACATTTTATATTGTGTTATTTCATGCCTTTTTATATTTCTTTTTTAGTTCTAGTGCTAAAGACACATCAGACTCACTGTCTTCATGTTAATTTATTTTTTTTCGTGTCTTTGTCATGTATGCACTTTTAAGGGTTTTTTATGTTTCCTAAAGGACATTGTGTATATAGTTCTTTGTTGGAATTCCCAGGCCAATGGAAAACCATTATTAAAAATGTTCACGTTGCAAAGTTGTATCGCTTCTTATTAGGTTCGGGGGCCCAATCTTTTTTTTCAACACTAGAGGGAGCTTTACTACAACAAAACTATTGTATATTCTCTCAACTGCACTGAAGGGGACTAACCTAATGACCTGATGCTTTCCCTTAAGTAGAATTTTTCATTTTAGTTTTAGTGGTCGTGATAGAGAAAATCCACTAATGCTTATTTTCAGCAGGACAGCAGTGGATGTAGTGCATACTGTCGTCGTGTCCTTGGCTGAAGATGCTTCACCCAGCAGACTAGTGCTATTTATTCACATCTTGTTCCAATACTAGTTTTGGTATTGATTACTTTCTGTTTTTTTGTTTTGTTTTGTTTTTTTACATCAACCCCACTGCAGAAGGATTGATATTTTGTAAATCATATGGGCAAAATACAAGGAAAAGTCTTATATTTGACTGTTTTAATAATTCTGCAAGTGTCTTTGAGTGTCCCGAAAAGCTCCATAGAAATAACTATTATTATCTATCATTATAATCATTAGCCTATAAAATGCGTCACATGCAAGCAATAGTCATACTTAGAAATGCTTGAAAAATCTGAATACAAATTTTCAGTAAAATTTTTTGGTCACTATTCTATTATTTATACCCCAACAACTGTACAGTGAGTTGAACATGTCAATCATTCTCTATTCTGCATTGATTTTAGATGTGTGCAGAAGTATCAGTTACTGGTGATACAGTAAAGCTGCTTGAGCACTTTCCCTGAGGTTTTTATCTCCTTTGTCCCCGCTTTTGAATCCACCCAAGACTGAGCTGACAAATCAATAACAAATTGATTTTCGAGGCAGGAAAGGGGTTAGGATTCAAGGAAGAAGCTGCGCTAAGACAGAGACAGAGAACTAGAATACTATAAGCCTTAAGCAGAATGTGTATGCGCCACAGAAGGTCAACAATATGGACCTGTCTGTTACGCTTTAGAAACAGTTATACAAAACTCATCTATAACAAAATTAGTTCAACCATAGAGAGACAGTGGTTTAGTGTTTGCTCTCTTACCAGATGATAGGCCCCGGTCGACAGGAGTGCAAAAAGGTGCATACAACCTCAGTTAAAAGTGTTTGTACTGCTCTCATTTGAGACCATTAAAATAAAGGCACTTAATGGAAGTGCACTGTGCTTGCAACAATAGACTATGAAGAAGAGGACTAAGGGAGTGTGACGTCTCCCACAATGTTCAGATCCAGTCAAATGAAGCTCACAGAGGCTTGCAGTTTATAGGAGTGAATTTGGAGCCAGGTCCATACTAAGAAAAGGAATTTATTTACGCAAATTTATGTAGCCAAATAAAAACACCAGTATCATGTAAAGTGAGACCAAAGACCAAAAGGACAAGGCTCACTGCAGCAATTATATAAAAGGTATGACAATTTTCCAACAGGTCAAAGTCAATAGGAAATAGTCAAAGGAGCTGGAAGCGCGCCCATGAACACTAGCGAGTTAGCTATGTTTGTTTATATATACAGTCTCTCCATTATTTGTTTGGCCTCGCAAATCACAATTCTAATATACTGTAGATGTCATGCATCTGGGGCTGTTGTAACCCTATAACTTTACCTGCCACTTTGACAAACTTAGCCAGATGACTCTACAGGGCACAGGACCAGCGTGCAATATTCCATGGATCAATAAAGTTTGCCTAAGTCCAATATAGTCCAATATCATGGTACCTGTCATGTTCTGTCCCACAGCAACAAACTGAAGCACTCATACATGTTGATATTTTCTTTTCGAGACAACTTGTACCATACTAGTCCATCTCAAAAAAATTTTTAATTATGAAAAACCAGGGGAGGACCCCTCGAAAACGAGATGGCAATACATCTCAAGGGGCTTATCCTCCAAATAAATAAATTCAAAAAGTTAAATAATTTTTGTCACTCTTTTCAGAAAATCAAATCTGTATATTATATAGATTCACCACACATAGCGTGAAGCTTTCAAGTCTTTATTTTTAAAAATTTTGATAAACATGGCTTACTGAAAACTGAAAATTAAGTGTCTCAGGGTTTTTTTTCTGTTTTTTCAGATTTTTTTTGTGTGGAATGTACTGTCCTGTACTATACAATTGCAAGATTTGGGACTCAGGATGTTTAGGACACACACCAGCTCAAGATCTGGGAGTGGGCACTGTACTGTGGTCGCTCACTGCTCCTGACAGGTCCATGAATCAATCCAGTCCAATACAACAAATTTGTCCTGCATATTTTATAAACAAAACCATTTCCAAAGTGCTTCATATAGCAATGTAAAGAAGAAGACACAAAGATATCCCTCTTTCTGGGTTTCAGTTGAAATAATGATAGTGGGGGGTAATAAAAAGTATAATTAAAAAGTATATTTAAATAATATTGTTAATGTGGATTTTAGTGTAGTAATAACATGACCCAAACTACTAATGTAAAGGGCTATTGTATACAAAAACAAGACTGGATTCTGATCTCAAAATGTTGGTCCAGTGTTTGGAAAAGTGGATGACTTGAAAGATGCTCTTCAGCATCTGTCAATTTCGAATGAAATGTTGAGAACCTGTATCTCCAATGGGGGCGGTGATGCAGACTGTTGCTTCACTCAAATAAGAGTGAACTTTGAGGATTTATCTTTAAAGATATACGCCTTTAGTTCAAGTCTGCTCAACAATTTAAAAGACATTCAGGGAAAAAATGTGGGATTGAGGAAAAGACCATATTCTGTGGTGGTGTCCATGGAGGAGGCAAACTGTTGCTTGGGTGTGAGGGGAACCAAGAAAAGGGTCTGTAATCAGGACAGCAGGCACTTCAGTGAGTCCTATGGAAGGAAGGCTGCAGCCAAAACTACTTTAGTCCAACAGCGCCACCACCAGGAGATAGAAGAAATGGAATACTGGGTGGCTCACGTCTCTAGAAACTAATTCTAACTCCGCTCTGATCAGCAATAAAACTTTCAATTTTAAAGGTCTTTGAGAGTGTCAGTAGATTCATTAGTAACCAGAGGGAAACTGATTTGCAGCAGTCAGACATAGTAAGTAAGTAAACATTCATGTTTTTTCTGCATACGTGAGGCAAAAGCTAACCACCAGATAATGTTTTAATTATATCAGCACCTTTAAATGTACTCCTTTAAAAATGTTCCTGTTGACTTCCTCTCTCCTTTATCAGCTTAATCTCATATTCACTTTAGCACGGCTCGCTTGGTGCTGCTTTTTACCCGGACCGTTCCCTCAGTCAAGCTTCACAGACAGATTTTCAAAGGGGCAGCAGCAGCAGCCGCCCCCCGCAGAGAGGAGGAAGAGGCGTTTGATTTCTACAGCGGGACGGTCCAGGGTCTGGCAGGGGTCACTGCGACTGACAGCTCACAGACTGATCGCAGAGACACTTCTCAGCCCCAACCGTGTCCAACAACAAGAAGACCACTGATCCAAAGCAGCGGGAGGAGGGAGAGAGGAGCTGTTATTCCCAAGTGATGTGATCTTTCAACTTTTCACAAGCACTTCTCCAGAAAAGAGGTTTAAATATCAGAATTAAACCAGGACTAACTCCATTCAATCTTGATTTGCTGTGGACCCTGCCTATCTGGATGACTGATGTGGATTATCAAGGAGATGGCAGGTATTGCTTTACCAGGAATGTTCCGCATTATGGTAGTAAACATATCTATGTCCATGGAGGAGCAAGTTACATGTTAGATTTATGGACACCCAACTCACAGTAATAAGCATGTTTTTCAAAGTATTCAAAGTATTTTAGGTTTAATGCAGTGGAACAGTCAAAAGGTAAAGCTCTTGATTTACCGGTCAATCTATGTTCCTACCCTCACCTGCGGTCATGAGTTTTGTGTAATGACCAACGAGATGCAGGTACAAGCCGTGAGGAGTTCAGGCACACGGGAGGAGCTTGGAGTAGAGCCGCTACTCCTCCATGTTGAGAGGAGCCAGCTGAGATGACAGGAGGCCTAGGGGAAGATCCAGAAAAAGCTGGAGGGACAATGTCGCTTGGCTTGCCAGGGAACGCCTTGTGGTCCCACGGAAGGAGCTGGAGGAAGTATCTTAGCGTGAGGGAAGTCTGGGGGTCCATGTTTAGACTACTCCCAGATGACCTGGCCCGGGTTAAGTGGAAGAATGGATATAAAGCATCTTCATAGAGACAAGCAGACACTTCAGTGCACCTTTAAACCAGCAACAGGGGAATTTAATCAAGCCTACTTAATCAGGTCTACTATGAAAAATGAATATCGAAATTCAATATAAAAAATGAAGTTGTCTCAAAATAAGGGAGAAAATAAGAAAATAAGGGAGATTATCACCAAAACAAGATTATAAAACACAGTTGATGGGCTACCTGTAATACTGTTTAAACATCTGAGTAAATCACAATGTAGACTGAAGAACCCAGTTTGATCTGTTGTTCGTTTTCCCAAAACATTTGTATTGAAAATTTTTCCTCTCACAATTCTCCCCCTTGTCATTTCCTCCCAGTCTTTATCTAGAGCCTTCAGACAAAGCAAACACACCAAGATTAGCATAGAGACAAATTGTCATTCTTCCTGATTCTGATCAAAACTATCCGAGCGGTGAGGTGATTTTAATATAGATGCCAACACACATGGCTGCCAACTGACAAAGATCCAACACACATTTTTTTATTTTTTTTTCCTCACATTCAACACAATTTAGAATATCATTTGACAGTTTTTAGTGCATGGGTCTTTCTTTGTGGTGCAGGTTGTGAAATGAAAGGATTTCTTGCAAGCAAAGTTTCAAAAATACCACTTACATGACTAGATTCAAGGCAAGGCAAGTTTATTTGTATAGCACAATTCGTACACAAAGTAATTCAAAGTGCTTTACAGAATAAGAAATACATTAAAATCATAATAAAAACAAATAAAAACATAAATAATCATGAAGATTAAAATTAAAAAAGAGAGACATAAATTGGAGAGAAGAGTGCGGAATGAAAACCTTTCAGTTATATGCACAGTTAAACAGA